CCCTTTAAAAAGCACTTCTTAAGGTAAACCTTGGGAACAGCCAGCATCCCAGCATGGGATGTAAGGATCCAGGGAACCATCTGGTGGCTGCTCAGTCACAGTTTCTGCTGCCCGGTGCCACCGGACACAGCTGGAGGAAAGCAGGGGGTGCCACTAAAATGGAGAGAAGGTGACTTAAGTGGGCTCCTACCACCCAGGGCTTTTCCTCATGATTCTGGCAAAGTTGGTCTGACTGCTGGGAACAGTAGTGTGAGGTCTATGACTTGGGATTTGCTTGAGTCTCCAAAGGGAATTGAAATCCTGAAATATCTATTTTGGTTAATAGAACCACATCCTTCTCAGTGCAGGCGAGCATTTTGCTTCATTTACAGCACGTGGGTCAGGTGCTGTTTATAGTCATAGTAATTGTTGTCACTCTTTACTCGCTCTTGAGTAATCTTTAAACTTTACATGTTGTTTGAGGTGAGAGTTTTGTTTCTTGTCGCAGTTAATGTGAAGAAGTTCATTTCTCCGCTTCTGGAACATGTGTGTTGAAAGGCGCTCTGCATCTGGGCTGCTTTCTCAATCTCTAATGGCATTATTCTTTACCCACTGGAGTGTTAAAATCTTCAGGATAGGTGAGATTAATCTTAATTTTAGATGTTCAATATTTTGAGGCTGAAGTCTGACCTACTCACCCCAGGCTCCTTGTACAGTCAATGATGAAAATAGGTATCTCCAGAAGGTGATTCATCTCTCTGCCGTCTATCTCGGGGGTGAGATTAATTGCCCTCTGGAAGCGCCCGCTTCCTCTCCGTGGCTCTAAAGGGAGCCTAGAGCAATTGGCTCAGAATTAGACACCTAAAAGTTAGACATCTAAGCCCAGGCAGCAGGATCCCCTGCCTGGTGTCTGCCTGGCACTGTTCCTCCATCGCCATTCAGCTGTTCTGAATTTCCCTCCCAAATGCATGCGGCAGAAAACTGATTCCCTGTGGGAATTCCCCAACACCTGTTAAAGATTGAAATCACCTCCTAATTCCCTGTCCCTTCTGTGCAGCGGAGATCAAACTGGGAGGTGTATTAAGCGCGCAGTTGGGTGGGAAGGAGGACACGGTTAGCCTTTTGCTTGCAGCCCTGTTTTTGTCATCAAGTGAAAAGCCACGGGCGGCTGTCACTCCTCGTAGGTGACATCTGCACGTTGCTGCGTGTGTTTGCCTTGAGAAGATGAAGGCGCACTTGCCATTTTATTTCACTTTTTCCCCGTTACAGTGCTTTTATCCTCAAGTGCCGGACTGGCTCGGCAGCTCCCGGTGGGAACCGTGGCGGTTCTGATAGAGCGCTTGTCTTTGGTTTTCAGAGCAAACGGTGCATTCCAGGTGGGGGGAACAGCAGAGGGTGGGGGGAAGCGTCCGGAACTGTTCTGCTGCTCTCATCCCCAGAGAAACCTCCCCAGGCAAACTCGCACCAGATCTGATGCCAGTGCTATGCAAAACAGCTGCCAGGTGAACCAAGGAGAGCAGCACAGTCCGTGTCTGCCGTGCTGTGGGGAGCCAGCTGAGCTTATCGCTGCCTTTTTTCCCCCGTCCGGAACACCCATAAAGAGGGGAATGAAGGCTTGTTGGATGGGGAAGCTCCTGGGAACCATAGTGCAAGGGGCTCAAAGCAATCTTTCTCCGCACAAATCCCAGGGCTTCCCCAGTTTGATGCAATGTGAGGAGGGAAGGACTGTGCCTAGCAGACACTGGAGACTTTGGATACCATTGTGGTGTGTCTGGCTGGTGTAGCAAGAGGCAAGATGTTGGCTGGTGTGAAGCTTCGTGAAAATGAGTGGAGTTCTGGCAGTTTACAGCAGCTGAGAATCTGCTGCCACTTACACTTTTCTTTCTTTTTATCTCCTGGAGCTAGAAAAGATTAAATCTTAAGTGCAGATCCTTGTTGTTTGAACAGCTCGTTCCTTTAAGGAGAGAAATGACTACTTCAGTGTGAGTCCTGATGTTGACAGAAACTGGGAGGAAACGGAGTCTGCTTTTAAAATATTTGTAGGAAAGTTACATATTCAACTGAAGGAGGAGAGTTGTTATCCCTATCACACCCAAACTTTGGCTTTCAGCTGGAATCATTTGAATTTTACTCGAACACAAGCTTTTCCTGAAATAGAAAAAGATGAGATTTGTTTGCAAATAAATCTGTGCACAAACACTGACTGATCCTGCGGAAAAGTCGAAGAGATTTGTGTATCCAGCTCCCATTTACATAACCACTGGGAGCAGAAATCACCTCACCCAGTTTTAAATATCTCACTATTGGACATCTAAGTCTGAACTAGTTGCCTCTGGGTCCCTTTGTAGTCAATAAAGAGAAATAGTCATCTCCAGAGGGCCATTCATCTCAACTTAAGATAGGCGTCTAAGATAGGTCAGATGAATGGCCTCTGGAGGTGCCTATTTCTCCTCGCTGTCTACCAAGAGAGCCTGGGGCAGTTATCTCAGACTTAGACGCCCAAGCTACAAGCCAGTTAATGTCAGTCTCCATGCATATTTGCAGCGTGCTCCACTGTCACAAAATACCTGGCTGAGGTGCTCCCAAACACCCCCGCTGATCTGCGGTGGGGCAGGGGGGACACGCGCAAGAGAAGAGGACTTGGAGGAAGCCGTGTCTGGCCTTGTAGGAGGGGAAAGGAAAAGGAAAGGTAGAAGCCCGTCAGCTGCACGTGCTTTTGGAGGGAAGAAAAAGTGAGATGGGAATCTTGCAAGAGGAGAAAAGAATGTGCCGGAGAACTTGGCCCTGGTGGTAGTGATGCGGAGTGAAATGCTGTTCTAGCTGTGCATCTCGAGTTCCAAGTTTGGGGTTGTATGATAGTGGCACAGATCTCTCATCACCGGGCACTAGGGATTTTCCTTGTGGTCTTTGAATTTTGCCTCATCATAGAATCACAGAATGCGTTGGAAGGGACCTTAAAGACCATCTAGTTCCAACCCCCCTGCCATGGGCAGGGACACCTTCCGCCAGACCAGGTAGCTCGAATCAACACGCTGCATTTAAACGTGAGCAAAACTCGTGCATCCAAGAAAGCAGATTACCTTTTCCTTCCTGTTCTATTTTAGCAACTGGGAACTTTATTTCCTCCTTCCCTCCTCCTTTCCTTTCTTGCCTTTAGCTACTGCCCTTAGATTGCATCAACCCCCCGTGGGTTTCAAAGGTAGAAACTGCAGGCCTTGAAGGTCCTCGCACAGTCCTGCTCAGGTGTGTGGATACTGATTGTGATCACCTATTAACACTATCAGCATTCCCATCCTTATATGTGCAGTTGTTGGCTCTTGGGGCGTAGAGCTGGAACACAATGAATGAACAAATTCCTCGGGCGGGAGCAGCTGGAGAGAGGTGGTCAGGGAGCAGATGGTTACAGCGAGAGGCATGGGAGCACCAAAGTGCGTGGCAGGTTGGAGGTTGTAGCAGCGTAGGGAATTACATGGAAGAAGATGAAGACCTGAGACTGGGAAGAAGAAAAGCTTTGAGAAGCAGGTTGGGAGGGAGGCAGGAAGGGAAGGCAGGGTGTAGCATAGGAGAAATGCAGGCAGGCCAGGGATGAAGGGGCAGTGCTGGATCTGGGTTGAGTAACAGACGGTGAGAAGATAGAGGAGACTTCAGAGCAGAAGGCAACATCTTGTTCTGCTGTGAAGTAGCGCTCTGGTACCGTTTGGTAGCAAAGACCTACAGCAACAAAAGCAGCTCCGTTTCCAGAGTCAATGCTGTTAACATGTTGCAGATTAAATCTCCCGAGCTGCTTCTAGATAGCAGAGAACAGGGTGCCATGAAATTGTTATCATTGACTCTAAAATATTTTGCCATTTATGAATAATTGTACCAAGCACACGCCCTCTGAGGATCTCAAAGAACCACGCTGATTCACCTGGGAATATTATGTGTACGGTGCAAGCTGAAAAACTGCGTGCTGGCTTAGGGTAGGGGCTTGTTCCGTTGAAGAAAGCAAGCCAATGGAGAGCTGGACTTGCACTCCTGCCTGCAGAGCTTCTCTTAACCGCTTTCCAACCTTTTGCAAGAGAAACACGAACTATTGAAAAACATGATGTGTTGAAGCTTGATCAGATCACAGGGCACGGGCTATGCTTTACGGGGAACGTTATACTGGAAAAAAACCACAAGGAGGAGGCCCTGGGGGCTTGTGCCGGTGTGATGTGAACAATTCAAGGCTATCACAAACTCAGTTGGATTGGAAGAGAATGACTTAGGGAATGGATTGCAAAGGGAAGGGGTTTCTTAGGGTTGCTTTTGCAGCTCAAGAGGCTTCGTGGAATCCCTTAAAGCATTCATATCTGTGGAGCGTACAACCTTTCCTCTGTGATGTTCTTGATGAATTTGGCAGGTGTGATGGAGGGGGGGAATGTTTATCATCAAAGGGGAATGAGTGAGGGCCTGTGCGGTACCTTCAGGCTGAAACCTGTCTGATTTTCCCCCTGTGCCTGCCAATCTCTTTTGGAATCAAGGAGACGCCTCTTGAGCACAACCCCACGGCACCCTCTGTTCCTTTAGATATCCTGTAATTACTCAGTGCCACATGGGTTCCTGAAGATCCCTGTTTAACAGCCGTGGCCACCTGTTTGCTAGCCTCTCCCACAGTTAGTTCTTGCTTGATGTACAGTGCCTTGGTCCTGGATTTCCCTGGAGATTTGTAATGTCCTCCAGCTCACCTCTGCTGGAATCTCCCTTGCAGTCATTGAGGTTCCCCCCACCCTTGCAGCTTGGCCAGGTATCTCCCAGGCAGAAACGCCTCTGTTCTACTTCATCAAAGGCTGATACCACCAAATGTTGCAAAAGCTGCCTTGGTACTTCCATTACTGCTTTCACATTGACTCCACCTTCCTCCTCCTCTTCTTGCTGTTACAGCAAACTGAGCTGGGTTAGCAGTGTGCCTTTGATTATGTGTGTTCTAAGTTCTGGAAAGATTACACAGTGCTGTCTGTCATTAATACTGAGATACTTTTCTGTTTGTTTCATTGTAGGAAATGAACAGAATGGGCTGGACTTTAACAGGCAGGTAAGAATCTCCCTGGGTTACCAGGTATTCTCCTACTTTCTTGAATTATTGTTTTTTAATTGCTCATCTTGCTGAGTTGCAGGCAGCTACTGCTAAGAGATAAAAACTGTTAGGTCAGAAGCTACCATTAAAGAGACCACATAAGTTCTCCCAGTTCCCCTTGTGGGATAGAATGACAGCTTAAACTTCTGGTTTCCAGGCCTTCCTATTTCATAGAATTTCAGTTAATTACAGAGTTTCTTTAAATCACCATTTGCTTGAGGCTTTTTCTGGCTTTTAAATTTTTTGTTCATTGTCATTTAGGAAGAAAAGGGACCTCGGTTACACTGGTGAATGTGCAAATCCTGCCTCAAAGCCCCATGCATTTCTAATGCTTGTGACTCTGGTGCTGAAAGCGCTGTGGTATGCAAGTCTACGAGCACAGGGCTGACTCACGGGAGTATCAGCAGGGACTGAAGATGAGGTGGTTTGAGGTCTTGGAGTGCGTAGGTCAAGACCAGGCCTGCCTACAACGGCAGATTCCTTTTTGCAAGGCAGTGGGGAAAGGGACAGCAGATAAAAGCCAGCGCCTGTTGCAGGGCAAGCAAGCGCTAATTGCAAATATGTGAGGGACCGTTGTCTTTGCTGTGCTTGCTATTACCCTCCTGCTTCATGCAGTGCAAAGCAACCCTGTCTCAACGAGTGCCTGGAGATTTTCATGTGTGTCTGCAAGAAATCCCTGAATCTCACATCAGAACTGCAAGGGGAGGAAGGTGACAGCCCTCAGAGGAGCATGGATCTTGATTCTGTGCAGATACATGAGAAAACGCTCTCTGAATCCAGAGCTAAGGACTCCTGTGGTCATCAGTGGAGCTGGACTCAGACCTTGCAGAGAAAAAGAGGAGGTCTAGAGAGTTACCCCACTGACCTGCTGCAGGGCTCCAGGCGTTGGCTGGGGAGCTGGAGCGAGGAAAGCAGAAGAGGCTGTAGCTCCACGGGCTGTCACTAGCATCTGAAGCAGATGTTGGCACTCTTAACAGTACAGCAACCTCCCTGCTTCCAGCCGTGCGTTCCCAGAGTTCAAGGATTGTGATCCTTTGCAAAGGCTCCCTGCTAGCAACTGAAGCTTCTCGCAGTGACTTTCTGTCTTTCAAGCTTGCCTTGGTGGCTCTAGTCTGACAGATGTCAGCAAGCTGCTGTTTATGTGTTTGGTTTGGCTGCTCTGGTTTTGGGTGAGTTGTAACTTCCTATCAAAGGTGTCTTAACACGTTCAGCCATCTTCCAGGTTTTTGGAATAGCCAGCTGAAAACAAAAAGTCTTGTGTCTCCAGCTCTGTGGATTGCAGAGCCCAAAGCACAGGCTTTCTACACGCCAGGAGAAGAATCCAACCTGCTTATGACTAGTGATAAAAGAAAATTCCCTCAAGATAAAAATAAGCTATGAAAGTACATGATCTCTACATGTTGCAAACTTTTCCTATGGCAACACCACAGAGATGTTAGAACTGGAAGCTGGGCTGAGGTTAATCAAGGAAACGTTATTGACTGCGGTGAAGCAGCGCTGATTTACACCCACTGATGATTTGATCCATTATCTTTAAGGTCCTACCTAGGCATGCCACTGAATGAGTGGATGCTGGGAGAGTTGGGGGGAATGGGGGGCAGATCAGCCTTGCACTCAGTAGGATTTGGGCCAGAGTCTGCTTGATAGAAACCTCCTCCTCCCAGAAAGAGGTTGTGGTCTTGTGACAGTCTTTTGCAGGATTCACTTCCCACTTTTGTTTTCCCCCTTCCACCAAAGGGGTGCTGCAAAATCTCATTTGTGCCAGCACATCTGTGTGTGCAACTCAGTAGCAAACCTGACTGGGGACTCACTAAGGTTTACAAAGCAAAAGCATGTGAACAAGCTCATTTTAATGTGGTTTTGTTTTTTTTTAATCTGGTACTATTCCACAGGACATAGCCAGCGTCCGCAGCAGGGCGTTTGCAGTGATGCCAGGGATGAGGTTCTAACAGTCCATCCGAGTGGACACAGGCATGTGCAAGTGGCTCTTTGTCTCCCTCTCTTGGCCCTCTTAAGGCCACGTGTAGGCTTGAGCCATCAATTGTTACTGTTATTTTAGATGAGAATGAGCCCCAACGCACGGGCTGTACGCTCACGTTTCGGGCTGACCTCAGCTATTGGTGAATTCATCTTCAATTCAGCAAATAGATTTCAAATGATGAGAAAAAGGAAGAAGGGAGATAGGGAAATATCAAAGTGTTTTCATGTAAAATCAGGTGCTGAGCCTCTTTCATTATGGGTGGAGGTTGGTGGGTTTTTTAATTTTGGTTTGGGGTTTGAGGTTGGGTTTGGGTGGCTTTTTTTTTTTTTTTGTTACCTTGCAATTCAAGTTTTCAAACTGAAGCCAAAGAAGTATGGTTTGAAACCCAACTCCAAACCGAGCACAAGAGCTGCTGAGCTCTCTTTGACTTTATTTGGAGTGCTGGGCTCTAATCACTTTGAAGATCATAAATCTCACTTCATTTAAGCCTCTCCCCCAGTCTTTGTAGATGGCCTACATTTCAGGTCTGTTTCCCTCCCATATTATGCTCCAGGCAGGAAGAGAAGGGTGGAGTGACCTGGTTAGACCCCTTACTTGCCTACCAATTCCCTGCTGTGGCTGCTCTCACCGTGAAAATGGGGAGGAGGGAAACTCTTGTGGAGTTTGAGGTTTTCTCGCAGTTTGTGGGTCAGCCCTGCGCTTTATGAGAAAACTGCCTTCTGATCCCTCAGCCTATTTGGCAAACATTTCTTCCCCCCTCCCCTCTTCAAACTCTCCTCCCACCTGGATGCAACCGTAATTTGTATGTGAATGAGAGGGAAAAGGGTGTGTATGAAAAAAGAAGCATCTTCTGCCTTGCCTATCTGGTTTAGCTTTTTATTTAGTGAGTCTAATGCTGGTTGTTTCCTGTTTATATCAAGGGAAATGCAAAGAGACAGTAATAAACTTTCACCCTCAGTGCTGGCAACCTGGATAGGGACATCTGCTGCTTGATGGTTTGGGATCGTGTCCAGACGGTGTCAGGGACAGAACTGAGTAACTTGGCTTCAGAGTCTTGCTGCCAAAGGGCATCGAGAGGGACCAGGATAAGGTCTGAGGGAAAGTGTCGAAATCAGAACTTCTCCTTGCTGTAATGTGGTGATCCTCACCAGCTGCGGTCTTACCAGTCTTGTTTGGCTTATTTCCCCATGGGTACATGTAGCATTCAGCCTTTAAGGAAACGCTGCATGGTCTCGTTTTACAGATGGCTCTGAAGAGAGTTGTTCTGCAGAGCAAAGCAATTCACCATTTGTCTGGAGTTAATCCCTGAGATAATGCTGCCTTCTGGAATACACACACAGAGCTAGGGCTGATGGTTTGGGGAGATGATAGGGCTTGTGTGCACAGTTCTGTGCATCAGTCCACAGCTGGAGGAGGGAAATACACAGATATTGAACCCCTGATTTATTTCCCATCAGGAAAGGGATGTGTAGGATCGTGTCATCTGTTGATCCTTGCAGCAATGCACTGAGTGCCAGGAAGGAATGAAGGCTCAGATCTCCCCTTCTTCCAGAAGAAGGAATGAAACGTCCTCTCCAAGCCCCTCCGTGCTCTCAAGCACTGAGCTGCACTCCAGTGCTAGGAGAGAATACGTCTCTCTTGAAATAAAGCTGAAAAGTTATGTGTTACCAGTGCAGGAAAGGCTTAGCAGGAACTGCATGTGCTCTGTATCCAAATATGCCGTGTAGTTTCACTCCAGCAAAAGGCTAACGCTTGCAGACAGGCTGTCATTTGTTTAATGATAATGACAGGTTTGGTATTTGTATCGATGTAAAGATGATCCTGCCGTGAGACTTGACAATATTTAAGGCAGACAAGCAGGCACTACTGTGCTCGAGCAGCCCAGGACTCAGCACAGCTTGAACTTTCCTGTTGGTTCTTCGCTCCTATCACTTTACTTTCTTTGGTTTACGCCAGTCAGGGATGTAGTAAGGATATATGTCTCTTTCCAACAGGCTTCCTAGGCATAGGATCTTGGGATGGATTTACCTGGGAAAAGGAGATAGCTTGGAGATGTATTACTGGGAGAGATGAGAGCTTTAGAACACAGAGAAGCATCCAGAACAAAATAAGGAAATGGGATATGCCATTGAAGTGGCCTTGTATTTCATATGCACATTAGCTCAAAGCTTACATTTGCACATCAGGTCACACACACTGTCATTTGGACTGTTGCACGTGACTCTAAGGGACACTTTCCAAAATCCCTGTCTTTCAGTGGTCAGTCAACATTAAATAATTGAGCTGCTAAAGATTCACAGTCAGTAGAACCTGAGTAGACATTTTTTGGTCAGTTGAGTGTGTCTGCTAGTGTACCACAAAAGAGTGGTGAGGGACTGGGTCCGCTGAAAAATTCCACCCTTCCAAATCCTGTGTGTTACTGCCCTGCTCTCAGCAAGAGGTGCCAAAGGGGTTTCTGTCCCTCATACCTACTTACCTAAGTCACCTCCCTGCCCTGTTAATATCTGACAGTCATTGTCCACAGAAACTTTAATTTTTTAGGTTTGAAGGAGAGTCAGTAGTTGTTTTGATGTAATAGAGTAATTTGTCTCAGGTCTTTACAGCTGATGTCTTTTAGACACATAAGATGGGAAACTGAGCGGGCAAACTGCATCTGAGATCTAAAATCGCTAGTGGCTCTCTTTCAGTGGCATAAATAACACTCTGACCTTGTTTGGTACTTTCCACCCACACGTCTGAAGGTACTGCTAATGAATTTAGCATCCCGGTGCCTCCGGAAGGTAGGGAGGTGTTTAACCCTGTCTTATAGATGAGGCAGACACAGGCTGACTACCTGGCTTTTCCCAAAGATGCTGAGAACCATGATTGCAGTCGAAATCAGTGGATGCTTTATAGGACAGTTGCCTGTGGACATTGGGGCGTATTGTAACCCCGGGACCTGCTCCCTGGCAGAGCTGGGATATGGACTCAGATTCTC